CTTCGTTCACTTCTATATCTGGAGTAGACCTCTAGTCTATACTTCACCTTCGTTCACTTCTATATCTGGAGTAGAGCTCTAGTCTATACTTCGCCGTCGTTCACTTGTATATCTGTTAAATTATCCTGTGATATTTGTTAGATCATCCTGTGATATTTGTTAAATTATCCTGTGATATTTGTTAATTATCCTGTGATATTTGTTAAATAATCCTGTGATATTTGTTTAATTATCCTGTGATATTTGTTAAATAATCCTGTGATATTTGTTTAATTATCCTGTGATATTTGTTTAATTATCCTGTGATTTTTGTTAAATTATCCTGTGATATTTGTTTAATTATCCTGTGATATTTGTTAAATAATCCTGTGATATTTGTTTAATTATCCTGTGATATTTGTTAAATAATCCTGTGATATTTGTTTAATTATCCTGTTATATTTGTTAAATTATCCTGTGACTGTCTGTGATTACACACGCTACCTGTCTGTGATTAGACACATTACCTGTCTGTGATTACACACGCTACCTGTCGGTGATTACACACGCTGCCTGTCTGTGATTACACACGCTACCTGTCTGTGAATAGACACACTACCTGTCTGTGATTACACACGCTTCCTGTCTGTGATTACACACGCTACCTGTGTGTGATTACACACGTTACCTGGCTGTGATTACACACGCTACCTGTCTGTGAATAGACACACTACCTGTCTGTGATTACACACGCTTCCTGTCTGTGATTACACACGCTACCTGTGTGTGATTACACACGCTACCTGTCTGTGATTACTTATGCGCTGCTTTGCTTTTGTACCTTTATTGTTTTTACTTGTTAAATTATCCTGTGATATTTGTTAATTATCCTGTGATATTTGTTAAATAATCCTGTGATATTTGTTTAATTATCCTTTGATATTTGTTAAATTATCCTGTGATATTTGTTTAATTATCCTGTGATATTTGTTTAATTATCCTGTGATTTTTGTTAAATTATCCTGTGATATTTGTTTAATTATCCTGTGATATTTGTTAAAT